CTTGAAAGGTCCCAACATAACCATGTACTGTAACATATACAGAGTGCCATTTACAGTTTTTCTCAGGCACTATGCCATTAGTCCAAGTACATTGACTATGCCATTAGTCCAAGTTATCATTTCCAAATAAATATAAGCAAATCAGCAAACTTTTTTGCATAACAGATACCATGTTATCATTGCTTGCACATCACTTTTCATTGTTAAAGGATTTTTGCAAAACACTAGTCACAGTGACCATTTGGTAACACCAAAATCACATCAGAGTGTCTGATTAAGCAATTAACTTCAAAAAAGTGGCAGCTGCTAAATCCCAAACCCAAAGCACTAACGAAACTGGGCCTAACTTGCAATTGTTTGCACTACTTGCTACAAATCTAACTCTCAATCACTCATAAGTTGCTAATAGGGTATAAAAGTAGTAAGAATGATGTGTAATTTTTTAACACACAATGCAACAAGGCCGGAGAGGACGTGGACGTAGGTGAGGAGGAGGAAATGGTGGGCAACGTCAGAGACAACCAAGAACAGTGGTCAGCCATGAAATTAGAGCCACCATCATTGACCATATCATTAATCATGGGCTCTACTTACATGAGGCTGGTCAAAGGGTGCAGCCTAATATTTCCCGGTCATGTGTTGCATCAATTATTTGAATATTCAAGAGGGACAATAGGTATGTACCATTCACTTATTGTAATTCAAATAAAGACCACAGTTCTTACATTATCAGATCTATATTTACTGCAGTATTCTACATTACATATATGTTTCTATAGAATTGACAGACCTGCAGCTGGCGGGCGTGGCAGGCTGTTCACTGCAGACCAAGAAGCAGCAATTGTTCAGATGGTGCTGAGGAACAATACAGTCCATTTACGGGAAATACAGGCTGCTGTAATTTCAGACCACACAACATTCCACAACATTGATTCAGTCAGCTTATCAGCTATTGACAGGGTCTTGAAACGTCACCACCTGAGCATGAAGCAAATCTACAGGGTACCATTTGAAAGGAACAGTGACCAGGTGAAGGAGCTAATATACCAATATGTACAGGTAAAAAGTCACTATATGAGTTCACTATGTGTTTACTGTACGTCTGTGCAGGACCTGCAAAATTTCATATGCATTCATGTGTTCCCTTTGGGATGGATGTTGTGATTTCAGAGGATCATGGAGCTCAAGTCCAGTGCTGAACCTCCTATATTCTTGTATGTGGATGAAGCTGGCTTCAATCTGGCCAAGACCAGGAGGCGTGGGAGGAATATCATTGGGCAACGAGCAACAGTGCAGATACCAGGGCAGAGAGGTGCAAACATTACAATGTGCACAGGTATCAGAGACCGTTCCGGTGGTATACATCCCAACAGTTGGGCCATATAACTCTGAGAAGCTTTTTGCGTTCCTTGATGAGCCTTTCAGAGCACTTCTGGAGTCTGAAGGGAGAGAAGATGCTACAGTCACAGCTCAGCATAATGCTGTCATATGGGACAATGTTCCTTTCCATTACACAGCTGCCGTGAGTGACTGCTTTGTCGCTCATCCACACATCGCAATGGAATTCCTACCCCCATATTCTCCATTTCTCAATCCAGTTCAAGAATTCTTTTCTGCATGGCGAAGGAAAGTCTATGATCCGCATCCATATAAGCAACGGCCACTTTTAGATGGCATGACAGAGGCATGTAGAGCGGTCACAGCGGCAGACTGCCATGGCTGGATCAGACATTCTCGGAGGTTATTCCCACAGTGTATTGCCAGGAAAATATTGTTTGCGATGTTGATAAAAACATGTGGCCTGATTTCGGAGATTGAAGAGATCAGGCAGAGTAACTCACATGGCTTTTTTTTATCACATGGCAAAATTTATTTTCTTGATATTCATGTTTGCATAAACAGCCAATAAACCCACTTTACCTGCAGAGAAGATGTGTGTTCTCATTTTTGTACGTTGTTGCTCCCTCTGTGTCACAGATTTTACTGCAGTGAGTATTTTGTCTGAGTGTGTTCACTGATTGCTTGTATGTGTCTCCTGTTTGACTGGGTGTTACTGTTTGAGTTTTGCAATAGCTATTTAGTGTTTTGATTCACATAGAGGAGTTGCAGGGAAAATGGGGAGTTCTGCCAGATTTGTTAGTGTTATGCATTGGCTAATTTGAGAATGTGGTTATTGTTCTGAAAGTGCCTTAGAAACTGTAAAAGGAACAGTGACTGGAGGAAGGAGCTGAAACATCAGTATGTACAGGTAATAAATCATCATTGAGTCATAGCCATTCACTTTAAGTTTCCTGTAACTCCATGCAGGACCTATGTTTCTTTTCATATGGGTTTTGGTAGTGGGTTGACTTCATGTCGCCCTAACTAGTGGCCCCAGATAGGAAGAGCGGGGGGAATCCATTAAATAGCGCAGCTTTGTACAGTAGTAATGCACTTAGTAAAATAAGTCACACTATGAATTGACTACCAAATAACCACACTTTATAATACTGGGAATATATAGTTAGACAGACATATTCTATTTTTTTCGGATATCATTTATTTTAGACCAATGTTGTAACGGCGGGCAGAACGAGACATCGCACCGACAACAAACGATAAACCGATTTCTTCAGTCCTGAAAGATCTAATGTGCAACGAACCCAAATACAACACCGAAACACAGGGAGGTCAGACACTGGACTGTGATGCTCATACTGTACATGGTGGGTAATCTATACACTAAACACTAAAGACAAGCTCAGATCATACAGCGTTCACACAAGACACGGGCAAACACACGCGCGACGATAGGGAAATACAACACGAGCATTTACATTAACAAATATATACAAAGGGCTATTTACAAGTGCTCGCAGCATGCCTAGCACTACGCGGAGCCATCTCGCCGGCGCTACAGTATAAAACCAGTCTGCACGCCACCAAGGTGTACTGGTTTACTTTCTACTAATTATTGACAGTGTTGGGGGATGGGTAATGTATTGATGCTCGACCGTTTAAATTAACACAAATGAATGAGAAAAGGTCTAACCATAGGTGCCCAGTTTAGAAAAAAGACGAAAGATGGGGTGAAACAATATACACAGGGGCGGGCCCTGGTCCCAGGGCCCTCCCCAGGATCATAGAGGGCCCTCCCCCTAGCCATAAGAGGCCCCTCCCATATACTAAATACACACGAAATTATGCCGATATAATTTCTTCCGAACTGTTAATTAAATTTTTTTTTTATTTAAAAAAAAAAAAAATCTGTAAAATCGCTACAACAAACTTATTGTTTGTTATATTTTTTAATTAAAAATATATAATACATAGTAATGTTTTGAGGTCAAACTAAGCTGTTCCTTTTGTATTTAATGGTTTATAATGTCTTTAGAATTTGCAAAAAACTGCAGTGCATGATGGGTAGGATCTAAAGGCAGCCTAACGACTAGGAAGGTGCATGCCTGGATGTGTTTGTTGGTCCAGAAAGTAATTCAATTTCATCATGTAGGCTACGTTCTTAAAAACTGCTTTTTGTTGGATATAGCCCGATAATATGCCGTGGGCCTTTTAATTTGCTTGTCTGCAATTTCGCCAGGTAGGCTACCTTCTTTAAACTGCGTTTTGTTAGACTACATATTTCGTGATGTTTTAGTGTAGTCTTTGTGAATAGGTATATAGTTTAGCCTAACCCAGCCACTTAAGGGAGCAAGCCAGCTCAGCTAGGTGCAGGTGTTCTGTCGAAAAATACTACCTATCGAGACGTGCTATCGAGCCTTTCTGCGCATGTGCAGTTCCACCGTTTTGGGATTAGGGTTAGGTTTTAGGGGTTAGGGTTAGGGTTAAGGTTAGGGTTTTGGGGGGTTAGGGTTAGGGTAAGAGTTAGGGTTAGTGCTATCTATTAGCACTACGGTAGCATTTTTCGACAAGGCAGCATATATCGACAGAACACCTGTCCCAAGCCCGGATTAATGGGGAGAGTTGGCGTCAAGAAATAAAGAGACTGTCTCTTCACTGCATCACTGATGTCAAAATGTGGGAAATATGTGGTTGTATAAATAAATGCGTTAAAGTAGGTTAATGATTCTGTGCTGTCTAAATTGTATAAAAAGTTAGGGTACATAACATTGAATGGGCTATACCCGGATGCATGGACGCATTATGAGAATGAGATAGACGGTGCGTGCACACTAATTAACCTATACCCTATTTACTTACACAATACACTGTAATTTTTGCAACAGAAATGGATGAGATGGGCAGGCAGCTGGTAACAACGTTGTTTTCTAGGCAGAGCCAAACAAATCTCCTCCTGTCTGAAAAGGCATAGAAAATGCAATTTAGCCACTGAAAACTTTAGTTTTTCTGGCGACCTGCTCAGGGTGTACTCCGCCTCTTGCTCGATGATGCTGGAATTGGCTCCAGCTTCCCCGCGACCCAGATGGATAAAGCGGTATAGATAATGGATGGATGGAAAACTTTAGTTTTTGTGATGGACAGTCAAATTCTCTCGTTAAATGTTTTGTGTTCTTGCACTCACTTTAAAATTCATTTCAGCGCCACCACATATACGTATACGTGTGTGTGCGTGTGTGTGAGCACGGGGGGGCCCGATCGGTGTTTTGCCCCGGGGCCTTGTGTGCAGTTGTTCCGCCACTGAATATACAATAATACAATATAGTATTATATGTTATGCATATAATGAAATAAGCTAGTATAACACTAGTATATGTTTCTAATAGTGTAATAATTTGATTGTTTTTTATTTACTACAGTTTGTTTCTATTTGTCTTTGATACTGCTTTGAAATTTATGAATCTTAAGTACTGTATATAATATAGTAGTTTGAAATGTAGTACTTGAAATGACAGTGCCGGATAGTGCAGTTTTGATAGCGAAGGGGCGGGGCTGGGAGTTACGGGGGAACCGCTAAAGTTGAGGTTTGTCCAAGGCTCCGTGGCGCGCCATACAAGCTAGAACCGTCACATAGGTGTTTGAAGGGGAAATGGACCGGCCCTTATTAAAACTAGTGGTACAATATTCCAGGGAGTAAAATAGTCTTTTTTAATAGCAGAAAATAAGAATTAGTTCGTTATTGAATGAGTAACTTTAACACCTCAGATCTGCAATTTTAAAAGAAAGGATTAAACACATGAAAAATCAAAGGCATTTTAATGAGATTAGTGTACTTATATCGCGTGTTATATCATACTGTTGCCTCACATGGAAGGGAAAATATTACCATTAAACTATAAGCGCAAAAAAGAAAAGGAGGAAAGAGCGAAACGTAATACGGAAATGCAGGCTCTCTGCTTCCCTCCTCTGGAGGGCATTAGAGTCGCTGTGCCTGTGTGTAACACACCCCCTCGATAAGATCGGCCTTATTAGGGGGAAGGAGCGCTCCTGCCATGGCGCCTAGGAGCCAGCTGAAGGTAAGTACGGACGCCGGACGCACTGCACAATGGAGGATCGGCGGCCATGCGCGGAGCCTGCTCATTTGGGACGGACAGAGAGTGAACGTGCAGGCGCGGCGTCATTTTTAGTCCGCAATCTTTTCGGAATAAGTGCAGGCGGTGGGCCGGAGGTTGACATTGCTGAATGACAGCGAGATGGATATGGGAAACATATGGCAGGTCGTGACACTTTGATTCATTCATTTATAACAGGTCGATGTTCTTTTCTTTACCTTTATTTGAATGTGTCCAAGTGTAGATGTGTGTTTTTGTGTCACTGTTACGTATTTATTTCGGGCGAAATGCTACTGCAATCAATAGCACAGTCGGGGATTTTGGCGTACGAACACTGTGCATCAGCTGTTGCATCCGAATCGGTAAGCCCATAACATTGAATATAGCTTTTACTCAGAAAAAGACGTAATTATTTAGGAATGTCATTTCTCATCTGCTCTCTTAGAACGCCGGGTACTTTGATCAATAGGATGTTATCTGCTGAGAAGCTTTACGGTCCTCACATTCGGTTTCTAGTGTGAGGGCATCAGGGACAGAATCTCAAAACAGAATCTCCGTGATCATTATTAGCCTCTGCTTTTCCTACAAGACGTGTTAGTATTGAAGTCAGCGCACAGCCCGAACAGTGATTCAAATATGTGCAGCTGCAATACATATTCTGACTATATTTACAATAGTTTTGCCTGGGTATTTTACATTTGTTTTACAAGAGTAGTCCAGTCGGTATTTTGCAATAAAATGTGGTGTATGTTACTATTTTCTCCCAAAGCCTCAATTTTGAGGATATTGAAATTGCTAATGTTTTTGATCAAATAATTAACATACATCTTACCGTTGTCAACTGAGGCCACAGTGGACACCTTTCTAGGTCTCTCTGCTGTTATAATTTTGAAGACAGTAGGGGAGGGGCTTGTCATGCAGACAACCTCATTTTCACGATCAGCCTACTTTACCATCACTCTGTCCCCCTCAACTCCATGTAGAGCAGGGCCACCATGTGGCATTTATCTGTATCGTGAAGAGCAGGGTCACCATGTGGCATTTATCTGTATCATGAAGAGCAGGGCCACCATGTGGCATTTATCTGTATCGTGAAGAGCAGGGTCACCATGTGGCATTTATCTATATCATGAAGAGCAGGGTCACCATGTGGCATTTATCTGTATCGTGAAGAGCAGGGTCACCATGTGACATTTATCTATATCATGAAGAGCAGGGTCACCATGTGGCATTTATCTGTATCGTGAAGAGCAGGGTCACCAT